CGGTAACGGGCCACGGGAGGGAGTTTGCTGGGGATTTGCACGGCGGGAGATGGGGCAATGCCGTAGCTGAGCCTGGGGCATCTCACTGCTTCTTGGAGGCATCAGCAGAGCTCCAGGGCTGCAGGTGGGGGATCGGGAGGATGCGTTGGGCTAGCAGCACTGGCACAGCCAGCCCGAGCTGGCCCCACGGCGCTGGGCTTTCTTGCCCGCAGAAGAGGGAAGGCAGCTCCTCGATCCCTGCCCTGTTCCTCCCGACAGTTATTTCCTCCCACATTTACCAAACGCCAACCTCGTGTTGCCGGCAGAGGGGAAGGCAAGATCTGAGTAACCCTGGGGCATGTCTTTCCAGTAACGGGAGTCTGAGCCTGCCTTGGAGCACTTCTCCCAGGCCGGGGCGCGGGGGGGCAGCGGGGTGCCTGCAAGGCTGTCCTCTCCGCCTGCCAGGACCAGCTCCTGCTGCCGGACCGCTCAGGTTTCCACCCCGAGAGGGCAGTTTCCCAGCAGTCTCGGGTTCCCCCAGCCGCAGTGGATGACTGCGAGGTGACAGAGGGCAGGTTTTGGTGGTGACGGCTGTATATTGCAGCTCCGTGAAGCGTGTGTTGTCCCACTCCAGGTCTACATCTCGGAGATCTCCCACCCTGGGGTCAGAGGCATGCTGGGCGCTTGTCCTCAGATCATGGCAGTGCTGGGCTCCCTCATCCTGTATGCCCTGGGCAAGTATCTCCATGTTCGGTGGGCAGGAAACCCTTGGTGAGACCACGGAGAAGGGAGTTTATTTTAAACAACTTTCTCAGGAAGTTGATGGATTCCTTCCCCTCGCAGCCAGCTCGCAAGCACCACTGCGGGTGTGCAAAGGGACTGGACAGGATCGCCTGCGCACAACCCACACTTCTGTGTGTGTGCTCAGAGGGATGAGTCCATCACCCCCACCGACCCGTGGCCATCACCAGGGTCACGCCGAGGTTTCATCAGGGCTGATGGGCAGCACGCAATGAACTGCGTGTGCATCTCCTGCCCAGCGTGTGCCTGGGCTGCTGCAGGATCTTCCAGGGCCCTCTAAGATTTGGGGGAGCTTACTGAAATTTCCCCATATTGAACAACAGCTGAAAACCCTTCTTTGCTGGGAGAGACAAAAAAAAAAAAGGAAAATCTCCCTCTAGTTTGGGGGATTTTTTTTATCTCCCCTGGATGTCTGCTGTCGGGGTGCTGGTGGGGAGGCAAGGGCAGGCTCCCCTGCTAACCGTGCTGCTCTGGCAGGGCTGGTCCTGGACTGGCGCTGGCTGGCCGTTGCAGGGGAGGTGCCCGTGCTGCTGATGATCGTCCTGCTCTGCTTCATGCCCAACTCGCCCCGGTTCCTGCTCTCCCAGGGGAAAGACGATGAGGCCCTGCGGTCACTGTGCTGGCTGCGGGGCAAGGACACAGACTACGCCCGGGAGTATGAGCAGATCAAGGACAGCGTGAGGAAGCAGGTGAGGAGGCCCACCTCCAGCCCGGGGGAGATATAATGTGAAAACTGCAAAATCCATCCTCTTTCAGACAACCCCTGAGCCATCTTCTGGGTGTTGTGGTGGTGCCCAGGGGTGGTAACGCCTCAGCTTTCTGGCTTTGTCCCCTCCAGAGCCGGCGGATTTCCTGTGCCGAGATCAAGGGCCCCTTTATTTACAAGCCCATCCTGATTGCGGTGGGGATGAGGTTCCTGCAGCAGCTCTCCGGTGTCACCTGCGTCCTTGTGTACCTGCAGTCGATATTCAAGAAAACATCGGTCATCCTGGTGAGCCCTGGAGTTCGGCCCGTGCTCGGACCACTCCATCTTCAGTGATGGCTCCCTGATACTCCAAGACTGCTGCAGCTCTAAGACCCAAACTCTGAAGCTTTTTTTAAAGCACCTGGTTGGCAGCAATAGCCAAGCACCTGCACTGCAAAAGCCTGCATGAGGACTGAGGGCAGGACTGGCCCTACTCTCTCCCTGCTCTCCTCCTCTGAGCTTCACCTCTCTGGTGTCTAGGAGGATAGCTTTGACAAAGGCATCAGCCAGAGTCAAGGCAACACATGTAGGAACCTGCCCTTTCCCTGGCTCTCTCATCTCAGCTTCCCCACCGCTTTTGCCGTTGCAGAAACCAGAGTACGATGCAGCCCTTGTTGGCTTGGTACGTCTCTTCTCGGTGGCGATCGCTGCTGTGTCGATGGATAAAGCTGGGAGGAAGATCCTTCTCTTTGTATCAGGTAGGTCTCTCTCCCACTGATGTGCAAGCGAAAGTCATATTTTAAGGATTTCCAGGAGCTGTGCAAACATGTAAGAGTGGAAACTTCAGCCATGCAGGACTCGGGCAGGGAGTGGCGAGGTCTCTTTCCTTTGGTGGTGGCTCAGCTCCTGAGCAGAGGTGTTCCCAGGAGCTCGGTCCTTGGCACGGAGATCACTCACCCATTGGTCCCACTGTGCTGTTACATCTCTCCACAGCTGGTGTCATGTTGGTCTCCAACCTGACCATGGGGCTCTATATCCACTTGGTGCCAGCTTCTCAGAACGGCACCATTGCCAACAAGACGCTGGTGACCTCTGCCAACCTTCCTGCTGAGCCGACCAACTACATCACCCTCATCCCCCTCCTGGCAACCATGTTCTTCATAATGGGTAAGCGCAGAGACTGAGAGCCTGCGGTCCACAGCACAGGACTGGGTACCAGCCTGGGGGGACGTTTCTCATCTGCGGCAGGGTGATACAGAGAAGGGAGTTTGGGGCTTGGAGCTGGAAGAAAGGCAGATGTCACTGGAAGACCAAGAAAGATGGCATCTGAAATCACTTTGAGGACTGACAGAGCATAAATGGGGGGCAATAATGATTGATGAGGCAGCAGGGCAGGATTGCACTGGGCTCTTCTGCACTCCTCAGCAGGCTTTGAAGCCTCAACAGCCTCACCCCACCCTCCCCTGCAGGTTACGCCATGGGCTGGGGCCCCATCACTTGGTTGCTGATGTCGGAGATCCTCCCTCTGAAAGCCCGTGGGGTGGCCTCAGGCCTCTGCGTCGTCGTGAGCTGGCTGACGGCCTTCACCCTGACCCAGTTCTTCCTCCGGGTTGTGGTGGGTACTGCCCTGGGATGGTGTCCACAGTCTCTCCTCAGACCCTCTCTGCACCAGCTCACATCTGCTTTCTGTCCTGCTTTCCAGGAAGCCTTTGGCCTCGAAGTGCCCTTCCTATTCTTCGCTGTCATCTGTGCTGGGAACATCTTATTCACAGGCTGCTGCGTTCCCGAAACCAAAGGCAGGTCCCTGGAACAGATCGAGGCCTTCTTCAGGACCGGCCGGAGGTCATTCATGAGGTAGGAGCTGTTGTCTGCCAGCCGTGCCAGGCCACCAGCCCCCATGCTCGAGGGCAACAAAGAAGGCAGTTGTGCTGCTGGAGGTGGAGGCTGGAGCTCTCTGCGAAGGCAACGGGAGAGGAACAGGCAGCAATGATCTGCAACAACTTTACCTTCTCTTCCCATCATCCAACACTACCTGTTGCTCTCTGGGCAACGCGTTAACCCGAGGTATGGGACCAGGTAACCCGCGCCAGGCTGGAGATAAAGATGTCCTGGAAAACAGAACATGAGGCTGTGGACAAGAGACCATGCATGTTCTTCGCTCAGCAGCCACCCAAGCAGCTCGAGAGCCCTAGGGTTTGGCTGGAACAGAGTTAACAGCTGTAGCCGTTTTGGCAAAGGCTCGGCGTGTAGTTTGAAGAAAAAACCAAGATGAGTCTCAGCTACTTAAGGACCTTGAAAGAGGCAAAGCCAGATATGTTGTATAAAAAGCTGCCATGTTTTATTGCTCTAAAAACACACATTACACTAGAAGCTTAACGAATAAGACCATATACAGTTCACAAAGAAAATCCAGGACAAAACAAAGAGGAGGAACAGACAAACATTCAGCTGTAGTGCAAGTGATTGCCTGTAGGAAAGACAGGGTAGGTACTGACAACACCTTGTACTGGGGCAGCTCCTTCCCCCCAGTGTTCTACTCATCCGCAAAGAGGAGCGTGGATGTGCCTCCATCATCGCTGTGTGTGGAGCCTCCATCTCCATCACTTTGAGATTTCAACTGCATAGTTAGTAGCAAATTGCTCTTACCTCTTTCCTGTGTATTCTGCAAGATTAAGGCGTATTTTTTTCAGAGCCCAACCCTAGGTGAAACAGCTGCAGGAGGCAGTTATGGCTGTGAGGAACAAATGGCCTTATTCCTCCCCAAAGGGCAGAACAAAGCCTGAGCCAGCAGGTGATTTGCCCAAGCACTTGTCCAACCTCCTGAAACACACTTGGCACCCCGAGGGCTGGTGGAGATGCTTGTGTCCTCCTACCCCTGGAACATTCAGCCTGCTGTGACAAGGAAGCGAGGGGTAACATAGCTTACTTAACCCAGATCTCAAGATATGCTGACTACTATTCAGATTCTCTGCAGCAGGAGATGAGAGAAATCACCTAAGAGAAGATATGCTTTATCAGAGGACTAATTTAAAGCAGCCAGGGACACAGGACAAGAGATGGGCCAAAATCAAAACCACAGAGAAAATACAGAATTAAACCTAACCTTTGCAGCTGAGACCCATTTCCAAAAAGATGTTCAGCCCTGGCTGGAATATGACTGTTTCTAAGCATGGCCTAATTACCACAGGTCTCAAGAGCCTCTGGTTCCCACTGACCTTCTGAAGATTAGGATCTCTGGCAGCCCTGTGCTAGAGCCATCTCTTTGTCACATGGCTATGGACCAGGTCTTGATATCTTCACTTCAGTGAAACCCTTCCCTGCAGACAGCGGCTGTTTTTTTCCTGAGAAGAAAATGACAAAGATGAATTGAGCTTCCCAGGGCTCACCCTAATGAGGAAATGCCCGAATATGAAATGAGGTTGGACTCTTCAGGTCCTATGAGAACGTCATTGGGGAAATTTTCTGAGTGACCTCCTTTTCTTTCATACAGAAAGTCTGAGGGTTTTTGCTACAACATTTAGAGTCTGAGAAATCACAGTGGCTCTTTCCAGAGGTAGAATGGTCTTTTTATTCACTGCACACACAGAGAATCAATTGGTGTTACAAAAGCAGCTCCTGCCCAGAGCAGTGAGGTCTGGGTACATAGCAGAAAGTGAGCTTTTGCTCTTCTCTTCACACCCGATGGACAGCCCCAGGGGACAGTGGAGCTTATACCAACAAGCATTGTCATCTTCACGACTGCATGGGAGAAGGAAGAGTTGCACGCTGTATCAGTGCATGCAAGTAAGAGAAGTGCACAGCTCACATGGTGAATGGTGAAACAGCCAGTACCCAGGTGTCTTTCCACACTTGGTGCCAAGAACTCACTGTAGTCACTGCTTCACCTGCTCTTGAGTCCACACAAAGCTTCTGTCCCGTCATCTCCCAAGACGCCTTTCCAAGACCTGGCAAGCAGAACCTCTTCCGTAGAGACCCCGTGGATTAGCTATCCAGCCTGGACGCCATCAGCAGGGATTGGACTGAGCCTGTAAAATCTCTAGAGCAGGGCTTTTAACTTCATTTATCCTTACACAGCTCCAAGCACCCTGATGGTGCCTCTAAACACAATGAATAACCACCATGCACTGTGAATGGGCATATTAACTACTGTGATGCTACTACTCTAAAGTTCCTTTCTATCTCCACAAAAACAGTCTCTTGCCCACACGGAGGTGAGGCCATCCACTAATTGTCACTCCATCTCCTGAAAGCCATGGGTGCTGCAGACACTGCATGCATACTTTGCCAGGCCGCACCTGCAATGATGGCAACGTCTGGCTTGATTTCAGCTGCATCGCTGACTGCCAAAATTCCCAGCAGCTCCCACTCCAGACGCATGTCTGTAGGCACCAGCAGTCTTGGAGCACGGATCTGAGACCCCTCCTGTAGCAATAGCCACAGAGACACTGAAGAGACATGGTGTTTTTAAGCATTGTGGCCAAAGGCTCCAGCTCAGCTCTTACAGAAGAGTCCCTGAGACCCATTTTCAAAAAAAGCCTTGAGCTCAGAGCTGAGCGTTGCCACCTGCTAACGGTGGCAGAGCTGAGGCAGATCGTTCACTTGCCTTGGCCCCAGTGTCGGACCTGACTGTCGCAAGACACAGTGTGACAGTACTGCTGGCGTCCAAGGGACTCCTGCACTTGGTGCCAAGGGAGCAGAGCAGACCCGTCCGTGTCGATGAGCCCTCCAGGTGACCTGGAGCAGCATTTGCCTGCGCCAGCCCCAGGGACTGTCCCAATGCCATAGACCAGCAGCAACTGGGTGAAGCCAGCAAGGGTCCCACCAGTTCTGCGCTTCATCACCGTGGGCGTAAACCAGCCTGCACGCGTTACTCCATCACCTTCGCTTTGCCTTTCCCCTCCTGTCACTAAAGCTACTGTGGAACTACTCACAGAGCACAGCAGTCACTACCAAAGACATGCTTGTAGCTACGTGCATCAGTCTGCACCATTCCTCTACTAAACACTACTTCACTCCCCAAACCCCCCTGAAATCAGAGCAGAGCTCCTGTCTGCCAGGCAGGACTCTGCACTTGAGCCACTCGGTAAAGGTACTGCACCGGGACACGGCTGGCTCGAAGGGCAGAGGCTGGCTCACCCGGCACACACAGCCCCGTGCGTTGCATGCAGCGACAGGGAGCAGCCCAGAGCTGGGGGCTCCGAAACGGCACAGCCTTTATTCAAACCAGCTGCATCTGGGCTGGCGGTGCCAATTCTGCGTCCCAGACAAGATGGTCTCAGAGCAATCACAGTTCAGAGGCCTGGGGGGAAAGGGGCTTAGCACAAAGTGGTTACCCAGCACCTAGCTGCTGGGACCTGAGCATGCAAACAAACCCAAGCCGCATTCCCGACCGGTGTAAATCCTCACACCTCCCTGAACTCCACCGAAGAAACAACAGCTAACATTAGCCAAGGGCTTAGCCCCCCGATCTCCAGGGACCACTCTGCTCCCGCTGCAATGCCCACGCTACAGCAACCCCCTCCAGCAGCGGCTCCATCCCAGGCTCTGCCAGGGAGACGTCCTGGTGCCGTTCAGCTGACGTGAATACACACCATGCCCAGAGGAAGGACATGTTATCTGGATAGTTTCCAACACGACACTGCTCAGAAGCCGCAGAGTGGCTGGCGGACAGACCCTTCGGACAGACAGCCGTCAGCCTCTCGCACCATTGCTCGGACCACAGATTTGGTTATTTCCCACCCCGACACTGCCAAAAAGCCGCAGAGTGGCTGGCGGACAGACCCTTCGGACAGACAGCCGTCAGCCTCTCGCACCATTGCTCGGACCACAGCGCAACCTCACTGTACCCCAGTGATTCCAATGGGACCACAGAGTGTTGGTGGCCGCGGGACCTCAGCTGCCAGGGCAGGGGAGTAAGCACAGGCTGCAGTCCCCGCTGCCACTGCTCGCCATAGCCACTGCCTGCCTGGGCTGCTGCGAGAGCACAGACCTCCAACCCAGCAGCTACAGCCTGGTTTTCCTCCCTTCTCTCTCCCAGAAGAGGGGAAAACCAAACTTTGTCACGCCAGTGGCCCAGAAGAAGACAAAAGGGTCAAAGGACAACACACTTTCCGAAGTCTGAGAAATGCTCCGAAGGCTGAAATAGGATTTTACAGCATCCCAGTTACAGCATCCCAGGCTCTCCCTGGGTTCAGAGACCCCACCAGTGAAACGAGGCAGTCCTTTAAAGGACAGGAAACAGAGCACTCCTTTCTCCTATGTCCAGAGAAAAGGAGTCCCATCAAAATACTTAAGTAACTAGAAATAAATTATTCTCCTTTTTCCTAATCAAAACAAAAAGCAATCATGTAAAATCAAATAAATTAAACCCCCCAGAAGACACCGTGATGAGCAGAGGGGGATCTGGACTTAGTGAGCAGCTTTGTTCTGCATGATACAAAGCAAACAGAAAATCTGATGTGAAAACAACTGATAGAGCCTGGAACAATAAAGCTAGACATCCCAGCTATCCACACTGAAATGGTGCAGACTTCGTGTTTGCAAAGGAAGCATATGCCACCTTCCCACACAAAACCAGCCCAGGACTGATCCAAAAAGAACACAAGCCCCAAGAGAAAGACTGTACCAGACAGAAGCAAAGAGCAGGTCCCTTGCGCAGAGGGATGGGCCGTGGGAGCACGAGCAGATGCCAGGAGTGGGAGATAACAGAGCAGAGCCCCCAGGTTCACAAGAGATGGATGCTCTTGCACACCAGTAACCTTTACACCAGCAAAAAGTCCTGCTTGGCTCAAGCAATAGCACCCTTTTTCAGCTGAGGTAAAGCAAACCTCACTTCCCTTCTTCCCCAGTAAAAGAATGAAGCTTAAGAAAAGTACCCTTATTAAGACAAAGTAATTAGTTCTTATAATTCAAGTAAATTGCAGTAACTGCCCGCAGCTGCATCCAGAGAAAGCAGGGACTGTGCTTTGTAGGTACCAGGATCTGCTCCGGCACCCCCGGCACCCCTCTGCCGAGAGGGTTATTGTCTTTACAGGGTTTTTTGCTGGATGTCCTGTCCCGTGCAGCGACGCCTCCGATGCCTGGCGCAGCCGGACCCATATTAAAATGCACTCAGTGGAAGAAGACCAAGCTCAAGCATCACCACGTATTGCTAAACCCTGGCTTAGTGTATTCTTACCCCTGGGAAGGGCCACAGCAGAGAGCGTTACTGAAACCACGCACCGTGCAATGGCAGGTCACCCGCAGGCACGAGGCCAGCAGCTCCCTGACTCCCGCGAGAGCGGCGCAGGCAAGGAGCTGGCACGTCAGCTCTGTCCCTGCTCGGCCCATCCGGACAGCAGTGCCCAACGAGCGCTGCATCCTCGTTTCATCATCAGGCATCACTCCAAAGAAAGGCTACCTGTTTAGGCTTGTAAAGCAGCACTCAAAGAGCCAGCACCTCTGCAGCAAAAATTAAAAAAAAAAAAAAAAATTAAAAAAAAAACCCCAAGAAATCAATAAGGTATGCTTTCTGTCAATAAAGTAGCGAAAGCTATAAAAATTAAAAAATAGGGTGACTGTGAGATATTCGGTTGAGGGTTGAGGAGGAAAGAGGAGCCAACGTGCTGAGGTCTGGCTGCTGGTGTGAGAAGAGGGCACAGCCTGCCCCAGCCCCTGAGATATCCGGTTGCTGCAGTGTCCAGGGAAATCGCGGTGTTACAGAGAGGGGAGCGGGCAGAGGGAAGGGCAGAGCAGTTATCCGTATCTTCACCAACATCTCCGTGTCCAGGAGCGGTTACCCCAAGCTCGCATGCTTCAGAGAGCCTGTCCCTCTAGGGCCCCTGTGAGCTTCTCTTCATCCATTTGCTTCTGCTGCTGGTGGATCCGAGCATAGGAAATGGCATCTCCCCTGCAGAGAGAAGGGACAGCGTGGGGACATGAGTCCTGGGTGCCCACCATGGTGGGTAAGCGCCTGGCACAGGGGTGTTCCAACTGGGGCCAGGGCCTCTCCGTACCGAGGGACGCCAGGAGTGAAATGAGACTTGCTGGCCCTCTCCGGCCCCACCACAGCCGCTCACCACCCCTAGAGCTGGGCCCACCCATCCAACGGCTGCAGAACGAGGACTGGGACCCACAGGGCAACCTAGATCAAGCTCCCAAGGGAAAACTCAGAGCTTCAGCACACCCTAGGACCCTCCCTCCCAGGGCTTTGAGAAGACAGCAGGGAGATGTTCTCTGGCAGCATTTACGCCTGAAAGCATGGTTAGCACAAGAGGAAAGCATAGCATCAGGGAGGCAGATGGGGGTGAGGGCTGGAGGTCCGCCTTCCCCTTCCCTCCACCAGCAGACAGATCTCTCTCTTACTTTTTGCCGAGCGCCGACAGGCCATAAAGCACCCCGGTGGCAAACGCAATGGCATTTCCAAAGAGCGTGGTCAACGTCAGGCTGAGCATGATGGGGAACACAGCCATCCTGGAAGACAGAAGCAGCCCTCAAAGCCGGGCTCCACTCCCCGTGGGATGCAGGGATGCGAGCCCACGTGCATCCCAGCACGGTCCCCGGGGTGGCTTCAGTGCCACAATGCACCCCAGCAGCATCCTCACCCGCAGTAGAAAGCAGCTTTCTGCCAGGGCCGCAGCCCGTCCGCCCTTGCAGAGACGGCATTCGCAAACTCGATGAACTGGCAGCAGAAGGGGGCTTCGCACAGGAACAGGACGAAGGCATTGAGCCTCCAGATAGAGAAAACCAGAATTAATCATGCCCGCATGGCCCAGGGTGAGGGTTGGCAATGCCCCCCGCCCCCCCAGTGACCAGCCACTCCCATGGCCAAACGCCGGCAGAATGGAATGGTGGGGCTGGACCCCTCTGTGCTCCCTCCCCCCTTCTTCATAATTCCCAAATCCTGGTGCCTCACTTTTATTTTGGATAAAAGTATTCCAGTATTTACCTAAAAAGGGGTCGGGAAGGCGGATAGGGAGGGAAAGAAGAAGAAAGAATATAAATAGAACAAAACCAGCACCCCAACCCACCCGACAGATAAAGATCTGCCAATTCTCAGAGCCTGCAGAGCCTGATGGAGGTTTCACTCACGTCCACTGCCCGAGCAGGGCAGCTCTGCCCCTTGCCCAGTGGTGTCTAATGAACCAAACCTTCCTCCCAGTAGAAAACCGAAAAGAAACTCTACTCACATCATCCACACGCCAGCCGCGATGTTCAGGGGGTTGATGGTGACACAGTTCCAGAGACCAGCAAAGGCACAGGCTGGAAAGCAAAGAGGCTTTTGGTGACCATGAAGACCAACCCAGCATGCCCACGGGGCAGCGGGGCCGGAGCCTGGCAGGCAGGGCTGGCTTCTATTCCCAGCTCTGCCCTGCAGCGGGACCTTGCAGCCACACCAGCATGACTTTGCTCTCCTGTGTTTTGGGCCGTATCGCAGAGCAGAGGCTGCCCAGAAGAGCCCTTGCCTTGGCTGGCATCTCTAGGCACTGCAGAGCAGCCTGCACAGACCAGCACAGGAGGGTGGAAAGGTCTGACAGCCCAAAGAGGACCCCAGGATGCAGGGGAGAGGGTTTGTTCCCAGCTCCTCCGGCCAGGAATCCTTTTGCTCCGAATGCTTGGGGTCTCAGCGTGACGCTTGCACAGTGCAGAACAACAGAGCACCTGCTTTTTCATGGAGTCACATATGTGGCACCCTGTGGCACCCCGGCTTTAATTTCCTAAGGAATTACGGCTTTGTCTCAGGAGGAACAAAGAGATCCCAGCAGAAACCCGTCTCTGAGCAGCGCAGGGAAAGTTCAGCAGAAACACGACTTCCAGCAGCACAGCACACGGGCAAGCAATAAACAAAGCAGAGGTGAACCCGGTCTCTGCCACACACTGCTGGTTCTGCGCAACTCCACTAGAGACGGGCAGAAAAGAGGCAGGTTTGGGTCTCCACTAACACAAATGGGAGCGGATAAAGCCGAGCCCAAAATAGCCGCAGGACTCCTGACTCTGTACTGCAAGGAGAGGAACCAGGCAGCAGCGTCCAAGCCCTGCGCCTCCTTCCTGCCTCATTAAACTTGCAGAGCGTTCCACTCGATACCGCCCTTCTCCTCCGCCGATACCAACAGACTGCCACTGCTGCCCAGGGAACCCGAGCCGGGCACGGAGGGCAGCCAGACACGGGCTGAGCCCACAGTAAACACCAACACCCTGCAAAACTCCAGCTAAAATTACGCAGCCCTGAAAGGCTGTCCTGGGGATGATCAGCGGCACAACGCAGAGCAGCAGAGCCCACCTCTGAGAACAAAACCAGCTCGGGGGTGGGTATTTCAGATGTCTGCTCGTGTTTTTCGAAGCGGGTCCCCTGAGCAGGTCTGCTGTGAGCAGTCCTGAGCTTCAAAAGCCTGGCACACATTTGTAAGGCTTCTTTTAAGCAGTCACTGTTGAATCCTCAAAGTTCCCTTAAAAATAGTTGTCCTTATTTACCGGACTGGGAAACAGAGCCGATCTAAGGCCACCCCACGAGCAAGTGGACTCCTGGTTTTAGGAAACAACCAAGCAAGGTTATTTTTAAAGGCTGCCCAGCACTATTCCACAGGACCCCCAATCTTTCAGAGAATCCTGCAAGAAGATGATCACCCAGCAGAAGAGAAATGCCAGAGGACATGCTAGTATCCATGCTCCAAGGGCGCTTATCACCCTCCCATCACAAAGGGACCAGTGTCAGTGTCCCCACGCTGCAGGGGAAACTGAGGCACTGAGGCAGGATGACCAGCTCCCGGTCACACGTGCAGACAGCTGGAGAGCTGGAAAAGCAACGGCAAGCAGGATTGCTGGGAGCAGCGCGCAGCACGGGGAGCAGGGCACAACATGGAGGTTTCCAGTTCTCCTCTGTGACCAACAGACGCTTGAATGCTGAGAGGAGAGGAGCTGAGGGGAAGCACCACAGGCTTATGTGGGAAAGCACGCTTCTGAAAATCATGTTAAGTGACTTTCAGGCACTTTACAATTAGCAGAACAGCAAAAATCAGCTGTATCTTGACTACACCCGAAACGCAGCCGGGGCTGGGGCAGAACCCTGCCTTGGTTCACAGCACGGTGGAGCAGTCCAAGCGGCTCACGGAAATACAAAACTGATCTCAACCACAGAACAAACCTAGGGAGGCAGAGTGTTGTTTTCCAGGCGGGTTTCTGGCCTCACTCTTTTTTCAATCTAGCCAAACAGAGGTTGTTTTGTCAGGGTTCTGGTTTGGTTTTGTCCTCAAACACCCCAAAACAGCCCTTGAGCGCTCAGCGTCCCCGCAGGAGTCTCAGCTGAGCAACCGCCCCGGCTGCCAGCGGACTAACGACCCAGCACGCCGGAGCTTAGCAAGCCCCTGCGTCAGCACGAGCAGCATCCCACGGCGGCCGGTACATCCTGGTCCCACCAGGACGGGATCGGCTCCTGCCTCAATAGCCAAAAGGGGACGGAGCTGCCAACCTAGAGACCTCTTTTCTGCAAAACAGAGGCCTCACACTAGATTTAAAATGCAGACTATGCTCAATGGCACGTGAGCTATGGACGACAGACAGTTCTGCCATTTGTTTAACTGCTGTCCCATCCCGAATCCCTTGAGGAAGCACAAATAACTGGGAGCTAAAATGGGAGGGGGGGGACGAAAACCACCCCCTACAAAGGCTCTATTCATTTCAAGCAGCTGGTCACTGTCCTCAATACAAGGCTATTTTTGCTCCTCGAGCATTTTACAAAAGCCACAGACTCTCCTCGTCCTTTCACAACCAGGAACAGAAGTGCCTTGGCCAAGGTCACCAAGCCAGCAGGAGCCAGAAACAGATCCCGGAACTGGTTGGTCTTGTTCCTGCTCCGGCCCCTGGACCTTTCTGGCTTAAGCAAGTTGTGAGCTGCAGATATTTGCACGTGGTAGATGTTTTTTGCCATTCTCATCTCCACTAACAAAGTTTCTCTTCCTTTTTACAGAGATTTTTTCCTTCTGTAAGAAATACTCCAGCCCTGTAGCAGGACCACAGTCCAGTTGCTCAAAATCTGTAGAAATGAGTTCTGTTCTTTCATAGAAAGCTCTGAAAATAGCAGCAAACTCCAGCCTTGCTGTTCTATTCATCACCCCTTTTCCAAACTGTCTGCCTTTAACAAGGTGATGCTGAACACGGAGCATTTTGAAGCGGGCCATGGCTAGCACGGGGCACTGGAGGGCTGCCTCTTCCCACAGCCCCCCATTTCCCTGCTCGTGAGCGCAGTCCGTGTCTCACGCTGCCTCGTCCTCTGCCTGATGAACCTCACGAAGGGAGACTGTCAGGGCTACAGAGCAAGCTGTCTGGCTCCCCAGATCATCGGCAATCCTGTTAAGGGCCTGGCTCTTCTTCCAAAAGCTTCTTCTCCCAGACTCACCCAAACACTCAAAACTCTCAGCTTTCCTTTAAAAACAAGTCATGAGTTCTCAGAGCTGTGAACAAAAGGTTGGGAAAATAATCCCAACATAATTCAGCTGCTTTGAAAAGTGAAGACAGAGAAAAAATGTCTTCAAAGACATGCGCTGCTTTCAAGCCGCTCATGAGCTGCCCTAGCACAAGGTGGGCAACGCCACCAATGCCACCCAACACCCATCGTCGCCAGCTCCTCACCCTCCATCCGCATCCCCCTGAGCTCTGCATGGGCCGAAGCCACATAAAAAGCGCCGAGGCTCCGGCTTCAGCCCCGGCCCATGGGAAAGATGCCGGTACACAAACCCCAACCTGGGACCCGCGCTGCAGACACGTCCCAGCTGGTCTCTTGGCCGTCTGCCGGGACCAGAAGCGCCGGTACGTTTTGCCCTGTAAAAGCAGTCCTACCAAATCTTTTCACACCTCCAGAATTTCAGCACCTAAGACATAAAACAGTGAGAGCAGCATACGTTTCACCAGCCTAGCCAAAAAGGGCTGTAATGAGCCTGCCCAACGATACCACGGTCTACAAGGTCGGCTGCAAAAAAGCCGTGGGCTTGTGCAGTCAAGTGCTGAAGCAAGAGGCAGGCATGGGAGAGATGGGATCAGACGAAACGCTACGGCCAAGGGAATAAATCAGGGCTGACTGCACTGGCTGAGAAACGCTGTTGTTTTACTAGAAGTCATGGGCCTGAAGCAGAAGAAATTCTCCATCCTGTGCTCTGCAGGAGATCAGACTAAGCAGTCATAACAGTCCCTCCTGCTTTTAAGAGCTATTAATCTCTCCACAGAATGTAGCAAAACAGCACTACAGGACAGGCGGATTTCTGGCAAAGTTGCAAAGACTCTTTTTCCCTGGAAATATTTTTTTCAGCAGCAGGTAAGTCAGAGTACACCGGCTCCCTTCTTCTCTGTGTCCAAGACCTAGACCCCTCAAAAACACCCAACAAAAACCAAGTCCATTATTCTTCTTCAAAAAAGACACAGCCAGGCCCTATGCGATCAACAACAGGAGTACCACGTGGGAAACATGCTCCTGCATTTCAGGATGGGGAAAAAAAATAAGCTGCAGGAACATACAAACACCTGACAGTGAAACAGGATGAACCAAATCCCGTGGCCCCTGCTCAAGCCCTGGACCTGACCCCGCTGAGCACCGAGCTTGCTGCTTGCAGAATCCCCGCCTGGTTTACCTGCCCACAGCCCTCCCGCGGGACCAGGGCTCGGCGGCTGCTCCCACCACCTCCAGCGAGCATCCAAGGAGAAACTCGAGGGTCTGCAGATCCCCCCGTGACGTCCCTTCTCCCAGGTGCTGACATTCAGCAAGTTCAGCGACCGCAAAGCACATCCCTCATGTGCAAACTAAAAGGCACGTCCACAGCTCTTCCCTCTGCCCGAAACGCAGCAAACTGATGTCCAGGGCGGACGCCAACGCGTAACCCCAAATGATGGTTTCATGGCACGCCCCCCTGCGCCGCTGGGACCCTAACGGGGGGCAGGCAGGGGCCCCGACGCGCGCTTCCGCGTGCCCGAGCATCGCCGAGGGGGAACCTTTGGCTGCAAGGGAAGGGGATACTTACACAGGCCCCCGAGGACCCCGGCAATCCTGCACAGCCACCTGTACCACCAGGTCATGCCATCATCGGTGGAGGAAGCCGCTGGGGCAGGGGCTG